GCGACCCCAGGCCGGCGCCAGCCACCCCGAGCCCAACGCAGCGCGATGGCGGCTGTAGACTGCGCGTGCGCGCTGCGCCTGCTCCGGGACTACCATTCCCAGAATGCTCGGGGCGCTCCAGGCATCTGGGGCGGGTCTAGGGCGCCGTGACAGGGCAGACAGCCAATCAGAGGCAGCGCTTGCTCGTTCACCCTCCCGCGCTTGCGTCATTTCAATGCCTTGGCAACGGAAAGAGTAAGCGGATTGAAGAGTTGCCCCAACCACCGAGACCGAGATCCAGGGGGGCCAAAAACCGGAGTGGGAGGGAAGTACAGGGACCCTGCGGGCGCAGGCATGTGCAGACTGCATGGGGAAGGAAGGAAAATGACTGTGAGGTGGAAGTTAGACCCTCTTACAAGTAGAGAGGGGAAAGGCCCTAAAAGGAAGTCGCTGTTTTTCTTTTCAATGGAGTCTCTATTTTTGCTCTGGGCTGATTACTCCACAGTACACACCCTTTTACACGTCTCTAAAGAATGTGTGATTCCTTGCTAGCGAAGCAGGAGGTCGGGATATTGAGCTCACAAACAGATCAAGGCCGTGATGGAGTCACAGTGGCTGTTTTCACAGCCAAAAGCTGGTTGCATTGGGACTCAAAGCAACTGTAGCTCAGGGCAACAGTTTCTATTCAGTAACTGTATTCTAACAGGTAATACAAAACGCTATAAACTGCTGACCCTACAAAGAATAGGGTAATAAATCACTCAGGTTACCATGTAACTATTTCCCAAAGCCCGCTTCCTTATCAGAGAGTCCTCGGTTGCTCAGACTGCTAGATTAGAACCCCTCACCACCTCATCTTCAGCAACCCATTCAGGCCCCCTTCCACTACATTGGAAGTTTTTTTTCTCCTTCCCTAATAAACTCCATTTTACTCTCTGAACCCATGTCTCTAATTCTTCATGAACGCAGAGCAAGACCCAGCATAGTGTTTGGTTTGATCACTCAGCATTCCCACTGAACAAGAGAGACTAAGCTCAGGTCTGCAGCTGCAGGGAGCTCACGTTCTGAATGAATGTGTGTGCACAGCTTCTGTGACAGTATATTTCTGTCTACACAGTGGCACACCCCTTTGTCATCATGTGAGCCTCACTCTGCCATCACCAGCAGTAGGCCTCACTGCCACTGTGCTCCCTCACTGCCGCCAGGCACTTGGCCTGCATCCAGCTAGCCGGCCTCTCCAGAACACCATTGGAGGGGACCTGACAGAATGGCTTTGGAGGTGTGCTTGCTCACTACACAGTTCAAGATCTATCCATCACAGTAGTGCATGCTGAAGTAAGCATGACCCCCATCTTGGAGGAGTGCCTCCAAGAGAAGTGGGGGATGAAGCAGGAGCGACTCCATCTTGGAGGATGCCTCCATTATAAACTGTTCAGTTCCTGTGACTGGAAACTTGCCTTCTCCTCTGTGCCTAAGTAAACAGAGTGATTAACATTCCTATTGTCCTTAAACCCCACTCCTCCTACCTACCCTAAACTATTCCTTAGTGATATAGTCATCAGCAAGACCCCTTGCCCTGAGCCATGAAGACCACTAAAATCCTATTGTGTTTAGGCAGAGAAGGAGCATACCCTCAGGAATGATTAACCTGCTTACCTGCTTTTTCTCGCTTCTGTAAAAGCCCTACCTCTACCCTTTCAAGTCCACTGCTCTTTGTCCTTGTAAATCTTCAAGTCATGTAGAAGCTTCTTTCTCCTTTTACTCGGGGCTGCGGGGTTTTGAGAGACATGAGTTCCCCCCACCATGCCTCCGGCTTAATCAATAAACTCCAATAAATTTGACTATGTCTAGAGGTCCTCTTATTTCTGGTTGAATAGACTATAACACATACAGTAGGTCATCCCTTTTTGCCACGAGGTAGTACTCCACGACACGTGAGTTTATCTAGACATTCACTGCTGAAGGACACTGGGGTTGTTTCCTGTATTTTGCTATTACACAGAAAGCGCTATGTTCAGCATTCTACACAGATTTCTGTATTAACATGACTTTTCATTTTTCTGAAATATACTCCCCAGAGTGCAATTGCCGGGTCATACAGGAAGCACATACATGCAGTTGTACCAAAGTGCCCTACTCCTGTCCAGAGTAATTATGCCATTTTACATCATCAGACAAATGAATCACCGTCTCCACAATCTTATCAGCATTTGATGTTATCACCATTTTTTATATTTTGCAATTCTAACAGATTTGTAGTGATATTTCATGATAGTTGTAGTTTGTATTTCCCTAGGGGATAATGATGTTGAGCATTTTTACTTGTTTATTTGACTTCTGAATAGACTCTGTAGTAAAATGTCTTTTGTCCATTTTCTAATTTAAAAAAAAAAAACTTGAGTTTTGGGCCAACAGGTGGTGTGGTGGTTAAGGCACTGGGATTCCCACATGGCCAACCATGGTTTTAGTCTTGGACCTGGAGGCTTATTTCCTCACTCTCCTTTTTTTCTCTCTCTGTCTTCCTCTAGCAAAACTCAAGTGAAAAAAAAAATTAATAAAATAATTCTTTTTTAAAAAAACTTGAGTTTTCAGAAATTTTTATACTTAAGTTCTTTTTAAAAATAATTATTTATTTAATTCCATTTATTACTAATATTATTATTTTAATTTGACCAGAGAGAGACAGAGAGAGAAAGAGAAAGTGAGAAAGCAAGCCTCCAGGTCCAGGACTTGAACCTCAGTCAGTCATGTGGGAATCCAGTGCCTTTAATCATCACACCACCTGTCAGCCCCAATACTTAAGTTCTTTTTTAATAAAAATTATTTGTTTTACTTATTATTATTACTTTTAATTTGCTATAGGGCACACGTGCTCTCCAGAGAGAGAAAAAAAAAAGTGAGAAAGGAAGCTGCCACATTCAAGA